GACCTCTATCAATTTAGCTCAGTGATAAATACAAGGTGTAAGCCAGCCACTAGGGTACACAAAGCCATGTACTTAGTAGTGTAGTAGTACACGTAGTGCCGGTCCCAAGCCCGGATAAATGGTGAGGGTTGCGTCAGGAAGGGCATCCGGCATAAAACGTTTAGCTAAATCAAATATGCAGATCAATAAAACGATTTCCATACCGGATCGGTCAAGGCCCGGGTTAACAGTGACCGCCAACAGTGCCGTTGACCAACAGGGCACTGATGGAAATTGGACTACTGTTGGTCAGAGACAGAGAAGAAGAGGAGGGCGTTTGGTTAGGAGAAAAAGAGAAAAGATGAAGAATAGAAGTGTTAGTCTGAAGTTTGGAACTTTGAATGTAGGTACAATGACAGGGAAAAGCAGAGACATAGCTGATGTGATGGAGAGAAGAAGAGTTCTCTTGGATTTTTGTTACTGTTTTTAATAAAGATCTGATCAAGAAGGCAATTACTCAAACTGAAAGCTTGACTAATTGAAATGCTTTACAACCAACGAACAAACTATGCTAAAATGTACATTGAATTAATTCTTAACTAAAATCTGTTTGTGTGGAGTGTGCAACAATGAATTTTTAAAATATAAACTCTCTTTCAACCATTTACTTAAAAAGCATACAACGGAACAAAAACAATTATAACAATAAAAAGTAATAAACTTATTAGTAACAGTAAGAATTCTTCCCTCAACAGTCATGTTCATCTGGAAATGTTAGTTCTTTTCAAAGGTGTACTTCCTGTACTTCTTTAAATGGTCATAAATAATATTTATATTGGCTAATACTACTGTAATGTACTACTTGTTAAATAAATGAATCAATATAATCAATAATTAATAAACAGTTTATGTCCATCACTGACCTCTTCTGGCAGATGCTCAACCAGACAGGAAGTCAGTCATAACATAATGTCTGCAGTGCTGCTCTCCAGATGCATGCCGTCTGATGTCAGACAGCCCACCGTGCGCCACTGAAAACACTTGCGACAAAAATGCTTGATTTGATGGATACACAATTTATTTGCATTGAGTTTACTCAGTTCATGTTATTTTTACAGTATTGTTTTATAACACATCATTCCACTGCTGTCAAAGTCCAGAGAGAAGATTCAAATCATTCAAATGTACATCAATTCTTTCCAATGCATCTTCATTACAATACACTAAGTACAATATTATAAAAAAATAAAAGCACTCGAAAACCCTGTAAATGCAACAATCTTCCCCTGTACTTCTTCCCAGTTATGTTTTAAAACTAATTTCCAAAACATCAGCTCTTAGAGATGACACACCTGAACAGGGGAGGGTGTTTGCTCAAGGCTTTTCATTTCCTATTCACAGCTGGTGAAAACAAACCAAAAGAAAGTACAACATTCACACGAAGAAGAACGTCTCTCCTCTTTATCAAATAAATATTTGGTAAAATACATACAAACACACACCCTGTGAAATAAATAAGAAAGAGGGTCTACCCAAATACAAATTTATGTTAAGGTCAGAACATTACATCCATATGAATGGTCATAGCTGGATGTTGCACTTCATTATCCGAGCATCGACCATTGTCGGTGTCATGCTACGCTTCTTCAAATGCTCAATGTCTTTGGCTGCGGGACAACTGTCAGTGCACTGTGAAGGTTGTGATGGGGATTATTGTAACAACAGGTGTCGTGCGGATGTTCCATCCTCACTGTGGGAGTGTGCGAGCGTGAGTGTAGGTAAGAGAGAGCTTGGACTAACTAACTAGTGTGGTGACGAGCAGTCAGCTGCTGCCTCGACCACACTCTCCTCTATCGTCTTGTCTTCCTTTCTCCTGTGGGACAGTAGATTAAGACACAAGTCTTCATCAGGATCAACAGTCTTTTCCTTAAAAGGTATTAAAAATATTTAAATTAAAGAACGAGTGGGAGAATATACTTTACCTGCTGGATGTGTGCTTCAGGTCGTGCTGTGGCACAGATCTCACAGCCGGGCCGAGACAGTTTGTTGATGAAAGTGCAAGAAGGACATGCCCACTCTGTCTGCAGAAGGGACAAAGAACAGAAACTTTAGTTCTTTTGTCATTGTACTGTTATGACCTCACTAACTTCACAGAATCATCACATACACTACCTGAGTTTTACTGGCTTTGTTGCTGTGATCGCTCAGTTGGAGATTCTCTATGTCCAGGACATCTTTGATATCTCCAGGTCTATCACTGCTTCCACCTGTGCTACCTGAAGTTCAGATTAAAAAAAAGTTTGCATTTACATCTAAGATGTACTTTTTTAATGCTTCTACCTCTTATTTTAGTATAATTCCTTGACTCCTTGCAGTAAAGGGACAGAAACTACATGCTGTTTAAGTTTATAAAAAGCAGGGACATGTTTGCATAGTTGACCTTTCAATTCAGATGCATCAGTGTTGATATGTGATTGATATTTTTGACCCCTTTACTTTTCACCTTACTTTAAAAAATGTTATTATAGTATAGTGACCCTGGTTATCATGGTGGAGCCTTGATGGCAGGGTGCTGTAAGCCCTCCAGTCTTGGGGTGTGGGTCCATTGCCCTGGGGGAGAGGTGTGGTGAGAAGAGCACTCTCCAGATCCTGCTGGAACAGCTGTCGGGTTATGCGAGCCTGTCGGGAAGAAATCAAGTAGAGGTACGCCGTATCTCCGTCCTTCTGAACACCGTAAGATGCTAACGACCGTGGCTCTGTGCACAAACACTGACCTATCACCCAGCGCTGGACACGAGGGTGGAAACCATACTCAAGAAACACCTATGGAAAAACAAAAGAGTCAGTGCAGTGGCAGAAGTGACTGCGAAAGTTTTAAAGCCATAATGGTGATAAGGTTTAACCTGTTGCTTGAGTGCAGCCACTGT